AATACTAAATTACATATAGCCGCCTTTCCTAATATCTAAATGCTAAATTACATATATAGCCGCCTTTCCTAATATCTAAATACTAAATTACATACATTGCCACCTTTCCTAATATCTAAATACTAAATTGGATATATAGCAACCTTTCCTAATATCTAAATACTAAATTGGATATATAGCCACCTTTCCTAATATCTAAATACTAAATTACATATATAGCCATCTTTCCTAATATCTAAATACTAAATTACATACATTTCCACCTTTCCTAATATCTAAATACTAAATTACATATATAGCCATCTTTTCTAATATCTAAATACTAAATTACATATGTAGCCATCTTTCCTAATATCTAAATACTAAATTACATATATAGCCACCTTTCCTAATATCTAAATACTTAATTACATATATAGCCATCTTTCCTAATATCTAAATACTAAATTACATATATAGCCGCCTTTCCTAATATCTAAATACTAAATTAGATATATAGCCGCCTTTCCTATCTAAATACTAAATTACATATATAGCCATCTTTCCTAATATCTAAATACTAAATTACATACATTGCCACCTTTCCTAATATCTAATATCTTTCCTAATTAGGGATGATACTAAATTGGATATATAGCAACCTTTCCTAATATCTAAATACTAAATTACATACATTGCCACCTTTCCTAATATCTAAATACTAAATTACATATATAGCCATCTTTCCTAATATCTAAATACTATATTAAGTAATTAAATGGTACTCTAGCATCACAAAAAAACAAAACTGTAACACAAATGTTCATCAAAATTTGACCTTGAAGTTATGACTGCAGCTCAGTGGTAAATAACCGAGAAACATATGAGAGAGATGATTAATTTGAATAGACTCTGTTGCTGTATATTAAACAATTAAAATGACAGTTTAGGGACCAAACTGAAAACATCAATTATATTTTTTACCAAAATTTAATGAGTAGGTTTGCGTAAAACATTAATTATACATTTTAGATGCTTTTATAAATTAATAATTGCTTGAAAAAAAAATCTTCCATGAATTGATTTTTCAAATTCTATTTAAATATGTCACTTGTACTCATCTGATTTATTTTTAAGAATTCTTTAATTTAAAGGTCATTTATGTTTGGAAGAATGCATGTTTTCCATCAAGTATTGAAGGAAGGCTAAGATTGTTTACAGTTGAAAATAAAGGTGTCAAAATTACATTCATCTAAGCAATTGTTTTGCGGCTTTTTCCTTTTTGTGATTTACAATTCACAGCGTTTACTAACAGATGGAAATAAAAATATTTAATAGTTCAAAGATTAAAGGGAAACTGTCAGTCACCCCATACGTGCTCTTAGCGCTCTTCTTTTCACTTGGTGACAGGCAACATAGAGAGAGCATAGAGAGAGAATGAAAAACAGAAACATTATTTCTGTTTCTCCTTCAATGTAATCTGTGCCCAGCTGTGCCAGGACTGAACTGGATTGTGTTGTCAAATGCTAAATCCTTAATGTACACTTGAAAGAAAATGGAACTTCACTTGAGAAAAGGTTAACAATAGTTAAAGTTAATTTTGACTGTTTTATTTAATTGAGTAATTTTAGTTTTTTTTCCCAGAGAATTAGCAGTTCTCCTTTATGCCAATTGTTTCCTAAATTAATCAATCTATTATAAAACTTAAATGTTATATATTTTTTTTCTCAATTTTTTATTTATGTCGTGACACACAGGAAAAGAAGAACAGTCATACAATGTCGTGGCTTGCGCAGAAGCCAATATGCTCAAGCGCACTTTGTGTGCGTGACAAGTATGTGCTCAATCAATCACAATTTTACATTTTTATATAAAGAAAATAAAACTTCATTAAAACTTTGGAAGAAACTGTAGAGAACATAGGTACTATTAAGGGAAGCATTGGTAATCTTGTCCCCTGGCAGCCATATGGGCCATTGTGTGTTGTGTATTTTGCAATCTTTTGACAACCTTCTATGTATAATTATACTGTACAATTCCTTAACATTCAACATATGGACAGCTTAAACATCTCTACTTTTCTTTTTCCTGCAAGTGATCCTCCTGATGTTGGCGTCTTAGTATAGGGAGAAGAATATAACTACATTTAGTTTTATTGTTCTTGCTATTGCCTTATATTCCCCTTACATGTGTTTTTACCTTGTACTTAATATTGTCTGTTATCTTTTATGTATACTTTAAGAATCGCCATTTTAATTTTGTTTAGAGGAAGGATATTTGTTCTCATTGTGTGTGCTTAGAGATTTACCCATTGAATGATATATTTTCTTACAGGCTATTACCCTCTGCTGTCAGGGTATTTTCCAGGATCCAATGATTCCTTTTATTGTTTATTTGTTTATTTATCTATTTTTTTGCCCTATGTTCTGTATTTGTAATCTTTCAATATTTGGTATAGCGAGCAACATAAATTACAGAATGAAAAAGAAGGGGGGGGGTCACGCATTAGGGAGCTTAGAATCTCAGTTCTGATATAGATGCACTGCAGGTCTCCCACACCCGTGTTGGCAGACCAACAATCAGCTCACAGTGGCCACCTAGGCCGTTGTTCCTTTCTCTGTTACTTCGGATAGGGTTGTTTTTGTCGTTATCAACTGCAGCCAGAATGGAAAATCCCTCAAGAGTGGGTATCGTGTTCACTGCGCACTGAGGAATATTGGGCGCTCTGACCGTCCAAAGGGATGATCACTAGTAGATCTCTACTCAAGTCCATTATATACTTATACGTGTACCATGATAGATTGGTGTTCCATTAAGACGTAGGTGCCTGTGTGTAAATGATGCGTGTGATACTAGACTACATGCATTGACAGGATCTTGTTTATTATTCTGCCCATCTGTGAGTCTGAGATATGCCTGCTGAGAGGTGTTCCAGCCATTAGGGGGTCGTGATTGGGGGAGGGAAAGGGTGTGAGGGGAGAACAGGTGTTCAGGTGTGCCCTCTTAAAGTACGGTTGTATATTGAGGTGTTTCTCCTATTTGGGGGTTACACGTTGGCTCCAGGTCGCGCGTTTCTGCATTGTTGTGTTAAGGCGGCGTGCCGTGTGTGTGGAGATGAGGTAGCCTCAAGAGTACATCCCTCCCGTTGTGTTATGGCTGTATCACTGTATCTATTGTCTTTTTGACATGCCCACCCAGTATCTCCTGTAGCGCCAGGTTAGCCACCCATCTCCCCTGCAGTGATTCGTCTACCTATTCTATTGGCCTGTAAGCTTGTGGTGTACTGCGTGTGTTCACCTTGTGCGGGGTTCAGGTATTCTCTGAGTGTTTCTATGAGACTGAGACAGTCTTCCCGAGGAGAATGTGTGGGCAGTGGGTCTGTGCTCCGCTGCAAATTGTAAACCCAATATCAGTAAGTGGAAAGGAGGTGCAGAAAGGATCGGCAAGTCGGGAAGAGGAAGGGAGAAAGGGCAGAGGTGGCAGAGAAGCAGCAGGGTGGGGGGGGGAGGGGAGGAGGGTGCTAGGTCACATTTCTCGGGCCCTCCGTCCCATCTTGGACTAAATAGTTAAGCTTCAAAGGGATAAAAAAGGGGGGGTGTCCCTTTTTAAATGTTATATTTTCTATCTACTGTGTTTTGTTATAAAATAAAGGTTCATCGTCTCCATGGAAGTCTGGAAGTATTGTCAGGAATAAATGATAATTGAAGGAGCTGCATGACCTAGAATTAGGAACGAGACACTATTGGCTGAAAGGATTAATCATGACAACTAATACTGATGTTTAGAAGTGAAATTTACACAGTCATACCTATAGGCTTTAAACATTATTGAGACTACTTTGAAATAAAATAAAAAGTCACTATAGGTTCCCCTTTTCCAATCTCTTTATTGAACCAGCTCCTACTCCATATTAAAAATCCTGCTAAGCAGAGTTCAGGGCATGTATGACAATGTCCCATTGATGAGTAAAAGTGATCTGAAGTCAATGGGTGTCTGATATCTTGCTTGGTCTTCAATAAATTATTTCTGTGTGCTTCATTATACCACTCACGGTTCTAGCTAGTTTGAATTAATTTCACAATATATAACAAACTATTTAAAACAAATTTCCTGTTCTAGAAGACACAATCTAGCTCAGGGGCAGGCAACCTTTTAGTAGCATTGTGCCAAAAGAATATCTTGATTTGAGATGTATATGTTGCCGTATTCTGCTTGTGTTAAATATGGGTGTTGCAGTTGTTTTGTAGCATTCTATTTGTACATATGTGGACTGTTATATTGTATGTGTTCATGAATAGTTTTTGGTATTGTGTATAATACCTATGAATGTGTGCTGTGTATAGGGGCTGCTTCTGGAAATGTTTTGTGGATGATATGTCACATAGTGTTTTTGGTTATGTGTATGTGTGGGGCCATTTGTGGTATTGCATGTGAGGCTGCTTTTGGGGTTTTGTGCATGAATGTGAATTGTCAGTGTTGCTGTGTTTGTGGGGACTGTGTGTGTATGTTTGTTTGTGGGCTGTTCGTATTATTTGCATGACAAGGAGGCTACTTCTGCAACTCTGTGTATATTTAGCAGTGTTGGTGGCTTCCCTGTGGTGTAGTCAGTGGTGTATCCTGGTTTTGTGCTGCCCTAGGCAGGACAAAACTCAGGCGCCCCCCCTCCCCCCCCACCCAACCCTTCCCCCCGCCCCACCTTCTAAATACACACACACACAGTCAGACACATACACACACACACACAGTCAGACACACACACACACAGTCAGACACATACACACACACACACACACAGTCAGACACATACACAGACACAAACAGTCAGACACACACACACAGACACACACAGTCAGACACACACACACATACACACACAGTCAGACACAAACACACACAAACACACACAAACACACACAGACACACACAGACACACACAGTCACATACACACACACACACACACACAGTCAGACACATACACAGACACACACAGTCAGACACACACACATACACACACAGTCAGACAAACACACACAGACACACACAGTCACATACACACACACAGTCAGACACATACACAGACACACACAGTCAGACACACACACACACACACACACAGACACACACACACATACACACAGTCAGACACAAACACACACACACACACACAGACACACACAGTCACATACATACACACACAGACACACACACACACACACACACACACACACACACACAGTCAGACACACACACACACACATACACACACAGTCAGACACAAACACACACACAAACACACACAGTCACATACACAAACACAGTCACACACACACTCACAAACACAAACACACACACACACACATCAACTTTTTTTTAAATTTAAATCCCCCTCCCAACCTCCTTACCTTTGGGAGTGCTGGGGGGGGTGGGGGTCTCTCTCCCTGGTGGTCCAGTGGCTGCAGGGCGGGCGGCGCTGGCAGGCGGGCGGCCGGCGAGGGAGCACTTCCCATGAGCTGACTGCTCAGCTCCCTCGCGCGTCGGCTGCAGAGTGAGGCTGGGAACCGGAAGATGACGTCATCTTCCGGCTCCCAGCCTCACTTTGCGGTGCGCGAGGGAGCTGAGCAGTCAGCTCATGGGAAGTGCTCCCTCGCCGGCCGCCCGGGATGTCAGTTAGCCGCGAGGCTAACAAGGCATCTGCCCTGGGCATTTGGGGGGCGGCGTTTTTTGCCGCCCCCTGAAAAATGCCGCCCAAGGCAAATGCCTTGTTTGCCTCGCGGCTAATACGTCCCTGGGTGTAGTGGGGACCAGGATGGCCAGTTAAAAGTCTAGGGCAGCTCTTCTCCAGTGCGGATTCTCATTCACAAGTGCTACGATCACTTCCTCTAAATGCTGCAATTAGTTAATTAAGGGTTGTCCATCAACACCTGATCTCTGAAGGCCCACTAGGACTCCTGATAGTCCAAAGTCTGTTTGGCTCTGGCAGCCCTGAGTGCCGTGCAAAGGTACCTCGAGTACCATGCATGGCACACGTGCCATAGGTTTCTGTCTCCTAATCTAGCTCTTTGGTAGAAACCTAAAATATTTAAATCAGCCAACCGTTTTACAGTTGCTGCTAATAGCAAGGATTTCAATAATGCTGGGCATGGTTTTAACATTCATTCCTATCTGATATTTTACAGGGTTTAATTTAGGCACAATAATAATGATGTTTTAAGCAAAAACATCTCAGTATTTTTAATCAGAAAAGGTGGTAGCCCTTTCAAGAAGAGAGTATGTGACATTTCCACATTAGCCATCAACGAAAATCTATTTTTTTTCTACTTTGAGTATCTAGCACACTGTTAATGAGCTTACAAACCTGCTATTAGCATCATAAGTGTCCCTTTGTGACAGACTATTGTACTGTAGTGACTTGATTCATAAACGTTATTCTAGTATGACAGAATCCTGATTACATATTTTCTTTAATTAAGGAACTTGCTGAATAAAACACAAGAAAAACAATGTTTCTTGAATCTATTGCTGGCTTCTATGATGTGTGAAATTATCATATAGTCATAACTAACCTTACGAAATGGGATTATGTACTGTATTGAGTGCTTAGATAGCAATTTTCATATAACAATTACTAAAAACATGTCTCTAATATTAAACCATATTGCACCCTAAAAAGAATTCCCAAACACAAACTTTATTTAGGAGGATGTATCTAACGACCCTGAATTGTAAAGTGGAGTATAGATGTAAGGGAAGTATATGTAAGTGGGGTAATCACCAATGGAGCTCAAAAATATCTAAAGTATGTGTGGCTTTTGCAAGCAGACGTTTTGTGACTATCCAATCACAGACTTCTCAATGAGCTGCAACGCAAGTAGTCTTTGCAAGGCAGGTGCTCTAGGCAATTGACACCTCTTGGGTTTAGCTCAACTGTACTAACCAAACCAGGAAGTAATATAACTGGCGGTCTGATTGACAACTACCAGGGTGTTACAAAGTTAATGTATAAAAGTGTAAATTTCTATTGAAATCAGCACTTTCATAAAATGAAAAAAGTAGACACGCTGTTCACACATAAAACACCTCAGCAAACTGAAAAGCATGAAAAAAAAATGTAGTGCTGCTTTAGAACAAATAAAAATGAATACAAAAAAAATATAGGATTTACAGATCATACAACCACAGTTCAGCAGTGCCTTTTCCTGTAGTTCCTGAAACGACATACAGGTGATACTCGAAATATTAGAGTGCAAAAGTTCATTTATTTCAGTAATGCAACGTAAAAGGGGAAACTAATATATCAGATAGGCGCATTACATTCAAAGCAAGATAGTTCAAGCCTTGATTTGTCACAAGTGCGATGATTATGGCTTACAGCTCCATGAAAACCCCAAATCCACAATCTCAGTAAATTAGAATATCACATGCAATCAATAAAACAAGGAGTATACATAGAACAATATCGGACCTCTGAAAAGTATAAGCATGCATATGGACTCAGTAGTTTGTTTGGGCACCTTTTGCAGCAATTTCTGCCTGTGGCACTGCTGAGGTGTTATGGAAGACCAGGATGCTTCAATGATGGCCTTAAGCTCTTCTGCATTGTTCGGTCTCATGTCTCTCATCTTTCTCTTGGCAATGCCCCATAGATTCTCTATGGGGTTCAGGTCAGGCAAGTTTGCTGGCCAATCAAGCACAGTAATTCCACGGTCATTGAACCAGGCTCTGGTGCTTTTGGCAGTGTGAGCAGGTGCCAAGTCCTGCTGGAAAATGAAGTCAGCATTCCCATAAAGCTCATCTGCAGAAGGAAGCATGAAGTGCTCCAAAATCTCCTGGTAGACGGCTGCATTGACACTGGACTTAATGAAGTACAGTGGACCAACACCAGCAGATGACATGGCTCCCCAAATCAACACAGACTGTGGAAACTTCACACTGGACTTCAAGCATCTTGCAGTGTGTGCCTCTCCATTCTTCCTCCAGACTCTGGGTCCTTGGTTTCCAATGAGATGCAAAAGTTGCTCTCATCAGAAAAGAGGACTTTGGACCACTGAGCAACAGACCAGATTTGTTTTTCTTTAGCCCAGGTAAGACGCTTCTGACGTTGTTTGTTGCTCAGGAGCGGCTTGACAAGAGGAATACAACATCTGAATCCCATGTCTAGGATCCGTCTGTGTGTGGTGGCTCTTGATGCACTGACTCCAGCCTCAATGAAAGTCCCCAACACTTTGAATGGACTTTTCCTGACAATCCTCTCCGGGCTGTGGTCATCCCTGCTGCTTGTGCACCTTTTTCTTCAACACTTTCCCCTTCCACATAACTTTCTATTAATGTGCTTTGATACAGCACTTTGGGAACATCCAACTTCCTTCACAATTACCTTTTGAGGCTTTCCCTCCTTATGGAGGGTGTCAGTGATGGTTTTCTGCACAACTGTCATGTCAACAGTCTTCCCCATGATTCTGATTCCTACTGAACCAGACTGAGAGACCATTTAAAGGCTCAGAAACCCTTTGCAGGTGTTATGGCTTACTTAGCTGATTAGAGTGGGACACTTTGAGCCTAGAATATTGCACCTTTTCACAATATTCTAATTTATTGAGATTGTGGATTTGGGGTTTTCATGAGCTGTAAACTATAATCATCTCACTTATGACAAATCATGGCTTGAACTATCTTGCTTTGCATGTAATGCGTCTATCTCATATATTAGTTTCCCCTTTTACGTTGCATTACTGAAATAAATGAACTTTTGCACAATATTCTAATTTTTTGAGTATCACCTGTAAGTGGGTTCCGAAACTCGGACTGGAATAAAATTATCCATGGTGGATTCTTATATGGTCAATACTCTGACTATGTTTTGTAAATACAAAAATTATCTGTTAAAACATTAGTTTATCAGGGTTAAAAAAAAATGAAAAGAACACCTGCAAGCTTTTTCTTTCTCAATACAAACTAGGAGACATGTCTCATTTCATAAATCATAGGCCTATTATGATGTCAGAATGTTGAATGACATCATAATATGGCTGTGTCAAAGTTTTGCAGAGCGAGAGAATATATACGAGGGAACCATGAATTATTAGAAGATAATGCCATTTCAAGGTTATACAGGAATGTGTAAACCCTACAAGCTCTGGACTTCTGAGTTGGCATAATTTTGCCAAAGGAAGTTCACTCTTGTGTATTCACTCTCTATGCGAGCCTTTGATACACACTTATTATGATGTTATTTAACATCCCAGTATTATAACAGACACATATATGGCATCCTCTGCAACCAGATTTCTATCTATTTAGTTAAACATAGGGCATACGGCCTTTTGAACAAAGAACAGTGTGGAATAGTATTTTTTTTTTGTATCCAAAAAGATTTTTAATTTTAAGTAAATACAATTGTAATCAATTGACATATAGTCATTTTAACAAAGAGTCGGGAAGGAATTCCTTACTTTTGACACATTACTAGAGGTATATAAATTTTTTTCCTTTCTCTGTATTAAAAGAATGAGGAAATTTCATTTTTTTAGAAACAATACATTTTTTTGTTTTCATTTGTATGTTACTTTAGTAACTAGGTAAAAAAAAATATTCAGTATTTCTCACATTGTTCTTTTGTTCTAAAAGAACTCCACGGCTCATTCACAATATTATGAGAAGTGCATTACACAGACAAAGACCGCCAAGGAACAACATCACTTCCGGCGGAACAGGAAGGAACCACTCAACTATGACAGGTAAGGGCCTGTGCCCTCACAACTCTGGGATTGGACAATACAGGTCACATGATCGCAGCAATTTGATTGGGTGCAATCATTTAAATAGACTCTCAGACCTGGAAGTTATCACAGCAACTGAAGAAGCTTTTACAACGAAACACGTTTTGGCACACTGGGACTGGACTGCCAAAGACTGGATAAGTGTTTGATATTTGTTGGTTTTTATACTTTTGTTTTTAGTTTTGTTGTCAAATAAATATTGTGTTATAGCACCTCTGGCAGTGTGTCCTGTTCCAGGTTTCGGATTGGGGAGTGTCATCCCACAAGTTAACACTAGGTACTTCCACCTTAGAGCCAAGGCTTCTATAGGCTAAGTAAGGTGAGAGTCTTTTTGATATTTTGTTTTGGGTCCATGATCCATATAGATATACTGCACCATAATCTTTTTACCTGTTTGTTTGCCTTTAAATCGATATCCGTCCAAGAAGGTGTGGTGCTGCCTGTAAAAGCAAATCTGCACTATTATAGAGCCTTATCCTCAGGCTCTGAATATTGGGAGTGTATCTACTATACTTCATTTG